TGAGAGTCTGCAGTTCTGACACTTCCTCAGAGCTGCCAGGGCTTTCCTCTCAAAGTCTGATCTCTCTTTGCTGTCGTATGACATATTTATTTTCAACCACGTATAACAAAAAATATACACTGAATAAAATTAATTAGAAAGACGTTAAAATAAAATACAACCGAAGTAATGTAATATTTTGAAGGAGAGAAAAATGTTCATCACTATAAATCAAAAATACCTTCACAATATTGTTTTCTTTTAGGAGTAAGAAGAAAATTGGAATTAGGCCCAGTTCCTGCAGAGAGAGCTTTTCAATTTCCTCCTTGAAGCAAAAGTCATATCCAGTCAACACAGGTTTTCCTGATTAGGCTCAGCAGGATCAAACATGACATTAACTAAAGAATCACGAAAATACTTGTTTAAGTGCAGGCGGTCGCAAGACACAAGGCTGATCAGAATGGAACAGAGACAACTTCTCTCCCTTGGACAGTGGTTGACAGAAGGGAACTTTCTCTAGTTCAGATGACCTGCTCTCTACATGGACATACATTCATGGCAGCATGTAAAACTCCCAGTTTGGGGAAAGCCAGTTTCTCTTTGGCTGAAAATTCTGATCCAAACTCTTCAGCAGTGTAGGACCCTGGCTTTTGACTGAATTTATGCCTGTTTAATTTGTGTACAAATTTTACCAGCTGAGTATTCATGTTGACCCTACGTGTTTTATTTCAGACACTTGGAAAATGTTTCCATTGATAATTTTTTTATTTCCAGAGATCATAACTTCTACTGGCAAGCAGGTGTTTAGTGTGTCTTTTTACTTAACTAGCTTTGCAGGATCTATAATTTCAAAGTCCCTTCCAAGTGCCAATAGGGACTACTGTTACTGAAGAAGTTTGCTAAAATACCATGCATCTATCCAGAGTACTTTATTGTTGCTTATTTCTACCACATGCACAGTCTATATAAAGGAGTATTTTTAGAGCATTAGGTGAAGTGCTTTATTATAACAGCTAGCTTTGAAGCCTGGAGATGATCCACTATTTTCTTTCCTAAATAAATCTTGGATAAAATCTTAGCACTCCCTTAAAACTGGTTCCTTCTTAACTCTCTGGAAAGCATGGGAGTTTTTTATTTTAAAGGAGCAACCGACAATAGAATTCAAATAATGACAATTCTCCAGTTTTTGGCATCCAAAAAGCACAAAAAAAAAGGTCCATTCAGCGTGAAAAACATAAAAGAAATAAAGGAAAATGCTGTAAAAAGCTGACAAGGAAGAAGGAACTGAAAAAAAAAGGGAAAAATAAAAGAAGAATAACTGCTTTATTCAAAATTCAGCAAGTTTTTATTACAAAAATTCAAGAAGTTCCCCATTTCTGACACAGGATGTGCTTATCTAGACTTGCCACAGTTACTTGTGAATTAAACCATGCTCCACCACTGTGAAAATTTATTTTAACAGAAATGAGTTTCAACGAGAATGCTGTGATTATGTGCTCATTTTTACAAGTACTCTATTTCCATTATAATAGGATAGTTTTATTCTTGATACAGATCTATGGATTTTAATAGCATTACCTCTAAATGAGATTAAAGTTCATAATTAATGTTGTGCAAAAAACTTTGAGGTTAGGTTCGGTATATTATTGTGAGGTAATTAAGTGGCCTGATTTCCACTAGTAAAGGAAGTGCCCTAGTTCCCTTTAACACCATTGAAGCCGTTCATTAAGATGACTGAAGTTAGAGAGTTCTTAAATCTTGGCCCATAGTCTTTGAAGAAAACAGAGAGCCAAATCCAAGGAGATGTTCAGTGAAAGTCTAAAATCCACAGTGATGCCCTAATTCTCCACTGCTGCGTGTCTCCCCTAGTCCTGTACATCTGGGTACAGTCGTTGTAAAATATTACCAGGCAAGAATTTTGCACATGTATAGAAAATCAAGACCTGGCTTTTGCAGAACATGTATGCTGAGTATCAGGCAAAATGCTTTCATTACCAAGATCCTTCACACAATGACTTTAAACTTCAGCAGGCAACTACTATTTCAGTTTTACTGATAGGAGCCCAAAACAGAGGCACAAAGCAAGCTAGCCTAGATGGAAATGCCCAGGAAAATCAACAGACTCAATATTTAGAGTGGATTAGTTAAACCACAAACAATTCTATGTAGACATCCATTCAAAATTAAAGCTGCTTTTATTCTATTCAATGTTATTTTATTCTGAAAGTGAATTAATTTAAATCAAATTGCAGCCAGTTCTGTTGTGAATAAGAGCATGCAAATTGAGTTTCAATACAGTTCACAGACACTTTTAATTTACATCTTTTGTTAATTTAATTAATTGTCCTGAGTGCCTGAGCTCACATAGGAAGTGTGCCAAGGTGCAAAGAGTTAAGTATGAGGCTCTCAACTGCAGGGTTTGTCCTCTCCAGCTGCCCTTTCTTGGGGTGCTGTTCAATCGTCCTTGTTATCACCAGACAGTGGGAGCCAGAAGAGGTGTTCCTGTGTTTCTGTGTCACCTACGATGTAGTGACAGCTCTCAGGGAGAGCATTTCATGCCCTGAATGGGAGGACTGGACAAACATGCAGCACCTATTGACTGGGGGCCAGGAGGAAGCACTCGGCCCAGGAGGGTGCATTCATTGACTCCTGTAGGCACCGAAAGCAGAGAAGTAGGTGACACACTACAGGAGATGCAGAGTAAAGGGTTTTCTGTGATTAGCCTAAAAACCCAGTAGTCAACTTCACTACTTTACAAAGATCAGATTTGTGGAGCTGTAGTTCAGTGATAAGCATTAAAACATTAAACATTACTTAGAAAGGTCTATAAATACCCACTGCATCTTCCTTCCTACTTTTTTTCCTCCATCATCTTCAACTTGAAATTTATTGTAGCAAGTCTTTGTACTTCACAAAATGAAAGTGATCTACGGGAGTAATTGCATCCATCTCAGGGCACTTGTGCAATCTCATCAGTATCTGTGGGGTTATTGTACTGCCACAAGAATCACCTGTGGATCAGGCCCTACTAGTCAGGCAAAAATCCTACAACCCAGTTAATAGTCAAATACTCCTCCACAATGCAGACTTGCCTGGAATGTCATGCATCCACTTCCACCCGTGTGTAGCCACTATCTAGGCAAAACCACGTTTTAAAGTCTCTCCTTTTTTTTTTGAGCATTATTTCCTTCAGCTGTTACACAGAGTTTCCTCAGCTCTCTGCTCTTTCTTCAGTCTGTCCATCCAACCTTGGTATAAATGTAGCCAGAAATCATTTTAACCATCTGTTTACAATCGAATCAGAAAAAAAAAAAAAAATCAAGAAGGGTTTTTCTCTTGTTTTCCTGGCAGTTAGTGATAAGTCCATCAAGAAAAAAAACAAAACAAAAAACCCAGCGTCATGGTCCACAGTCCATGAATGGGAATTGCATTTCTCTCCTGTTCTTAAGAGTTTCCTAATAGTTAGAGAAAGTAGCTTAAAAGTAGTAGAACAGATACCCCCAAGAGGCTGCTTACTGAGTGAAGGATATGGAATGCAAATGTGTTTTTAAGCAGGAGAGAGTAAAGTGTTTAAAAAAATTGCTCTAAGACTTAAGAGTCTGAGTACCTACCGTGTTCACTAAATAAACTCAGGACAATCTTGAGTCCCCTTGAAGAAAGCTGCTGAGCTAAACTTCAGCTGTTTCAGAAGGCCACGCACATTTTTTAAATAGGCTTTAAACCCCCTAACTAATCCTAAACGTTTCATAGCGACATGTAAAATCCTAAAATCTCGGGGGTAGGAAATTTCATTTTCGGGGACGGAGCAGACGAGAGTCTCTTCTCTACGGGAGCCGGCTCTCTAGACGTTGCAAGAAATGCACTGCTTTGCTTATTTGTCAGGCCGGCTCTGGAAGGCTCAGCCGCTGTCGGGGGGCCCGGCCTGGCCTCGTGTGACCCGCCAGGCCCCGCAGCCGCGGCCAGCCGCGAGTGAAAACAAACAAACAAAAATCCCCAAACAACAAACCCACAAGAAAGCAGAAAAGGAAGGAGGGAGAGGGAGCTGCCTGGCCTCCCCCCGACGCCCCCCGGCCGGGAGGGGAAGCCTGCGGGCCGGGGAGCCTGCAGGGAGCCGCCGCCCCGGGAAAAAGCTGCTCGGGGGCCTCCGAGGAGCGAGGGCCGCCACTCAGCTCTCCCTGCCGGCGGTGGGTGAGCGCCGCGGCTGTCCCGGGGCCTCCAGGCTGGCGGGAAGCGGCGAGCCCGCCCGGCTTTTTCCCTTTGGAAGGAAAAGGAACGGGGAACGGAGAAAGACAATTCTCTCCGGGCTTCGACAGCGTGGCTGTCAGCGCTGCGTGCTGCCAGCTGAGCGGGCAGTCCCGCCGCAGCAAGTGTTCCCGGGAGTCACGCTTTATGGGGTCACTGGAGGAAGAGCCAGGTGTGCCATGCAGCCAGGACCAAGGCACAGGGAGCTTGGCCCGTGGGTCGCGGTGCTGGTGCTCCGCCACGGAGCCCCTGCCTGTGGCAGCGCACCTGTCACAGCGACGGGCCCGAGACCTGGCAGGGGTGCAAGGGCCGACCCGGGAAAGCCCGTCATTTCTCACCCAAGGAGCAGGTAGATCCCTCAAAAATAATTAAAAACAAACTAAGAAAAAATACCTAATCTGGGTAAAATGAAAACAGAAGTTTCCCGGAGGAGGGACTTTAGCGAGGCTAGCAGGAGGATTTAACAGCCGGACCCACGAGAAACGACGCTGACATAAGCTCTGCTCGGGGAGGTAACCATGGGATAGCTCAGGTTTCTGTAGGAAAACAGAATGCGGGAGTTGTGCCCCAGGGGGGAAAAAAATACCATTAAACAGCAGGAGCTATTTCCAGAGTGAGCAGAAATTACAAATCCAGCGGCACCGACGCGTGACATGAAAGATTTCTGTGCAAGAGCCTGAGATAGCTCGGAAACGCACCCACATCCCCGGGTGATCCGCGTGCTTTAGCGAGGATTGGGACACCCACGCTGGAGCCCGTGCCCCCCTCCACACACACACCGTGTTCGCAGGCGTCTCTCCAGCAGCTGCAGCCCAGGCCGGCTTACACGGACTTCAGATCGGACCTACCGAACCTCGGCCCGCTCTGAAACGCGGTGTCTGAGGCAGGGCAGCGTTTCCCGGCCCTCCCGAGATGTCCGGCACGAGGGTCCCGGACGGGAGCAGGCCCGGCTGTCTCAGGTCTCCCCGTGTCGTTACAGCACAGACAACGAAAGAGAATTTGGAGCAGGGGTTTCTTTTGTTTATTGGAGTTTTGAAAATATTCTAGACA